TCTCCCTGCCCCTGGCCCCGCCGGTCTGCGTCTCCCCGCCCCTGCCTGTCCGCTCCGTGACCGCAAGCTGTCCCTCTCTCGCTGCAGGCGGTGGACGATGTGAAGAAGGGCTTTATCAAGGCCGAAGAGAAAGCCTATCAGCTGCAGAAACTTGCTGAGCAGCGCAAGATGACAATGGTGACTCTCGATCTCGGCGTTTTCAGGATTTTTTTCTGCGTGTCTCAGGAAGTGCCTGCGTAACTGAATCCCATCCCTTTTCTCTCTCCTGCCCTGCCCCTCCATCCTTCTCTCCGCTCTCCTCGGCCCCGCCCCTCTGTTTACCCCACCTCTCTCTCTCTTCTCTCCTCGACCTTGGCCCCGCCCTCTCTGCCTTCTGCTTGCCCCTCCCCTGCCTTCTCCTCGCTATCTTCTCTTCCCTCGCCTCACCTCTCTCTCTCTCTCTCTGCTTGCCTCTCAATGGCCCCGCCCCCTGCCCTCTCCTCGGCCCCGCCCCCCCATCTCTGCAGTACCTCAGTGTCCTGCAGTCCTGCGAGGGCTACAACGAGATCATCTTCCCTCACTGCGCCTGCGACTCCCGCCGCAAGGGCCACGTGATCACGGCCATCAGCATACAGCACTTCAAGCTGCACGCCTGCACTGAGGACGGCACCCTGGAGGTACAGGGCGGTGGGGGGGGGCTGGGGGGGCAGGACGGAGGGGCGGAGGGGCGCAGGCTCACTGGGGGTCCTGTCCCTACAGAACCAGGTGATCGCGTTCGACTGGGCCGAGATGCAGCGCTGGGACACGGACGAGGAGGGCACTGCGTTCTGCTTCGAGTACGCCCGCGCCGAGAAGAAGCCACGCTGGGTCAAGATCTTCACCCCATACGTGAGTGGTGGGGGCCCTCCGGGGGTGTCGGCGGGGAGGGGGGACCCCGGCGGCGTGTGGGCTGTGTGTGAGACTGCTCTCTGTCTCGCTGCAGTTTAACTACATGCACGAGTGCTTCGAGAGGGTCTTCTGCGAGCTCCGCTGGAGGAAGGAGGTGAGTCCAAATCCGACAGCCCGGGTCAGAGAGGAGCAGCACTGAGCTCCTCTCGCCCCTCTCCTCTCCTGTAACTCCCTCCTCTCTCCTCTCCTGTAACTCTCTCCTCTCTCCTCTCTCCTCTCCTGTAACTCCCTCCTCTCTCCTCTC